AAGTGAAAGTGTGCTGGGAAAGTCGAAGTGTCGAGTGTTGGAATGTGTATGAAGTCCACAAGTCCGCACCCTGTTCAACGTCCCCAGTTCCGGAGAAGAGGGATCTAGTGTCCGACAGGTCGAGGCAGTGTCAGACAAGGAACCGGTACCCATGTTCACCCCTTGTCCATTCAGGAATGTTATTCACCCTTCGCGGATTTCAAGCAGTACTTGTAGCTTCAAATTAAGTGTATTTCTGTTAACTAGGCAATGAGGCAATGTCCCAGACTGTTGAATGCAGTTGGAGATGAGAGACCGGGCCATTTGGTTTAGAGCACGGGTGACATCGTAAGGAGTACAGTTGGGGTTACGACATGTATCCTTAAGTTAAGACATGGATGCATAAGGGCGAGGTGAAATCATTAAATCAAGGAAGCAAACGAAAGACTCGGGCGAGAAGGAGATAGGAGGAGGGGAAAAGTTGCTTTGAAAACTATGAGAATGATTTCTATGGAATAAACTCGACGCGAACTACGAGAGTGTAATGGCGAGTGGTGCAGGGAAACATGAGCTCACTTCCATCAAACTTCATGATGGAACGCGCGGTATTAGTGCTTAGAGCCAACGGTCGATCAGGTTATGAAGAGAAGCCTTATATATTTCAATTTGATCCGAAGAAAAATCGGGAGCTTAAGACCGACACAATTCTGGTGTGTGAAACATGGTACATCCAAGATTTCTTCGATGTCAAATGATTAGAAGGATCTTCCTGTCTAGAATCTCAAGCTATGGAAGTTGTAACCTCCTATGCCATGCCTGATCCATCTTCAGCATTACCTTCAAGTTGCGCTTCCTGCTCTATTTCAGCAAGGCACATGTTGTTATCTTATGGGGCCCAAGACTTTCCATGTCTGTGGTGGAAACCAAGTAATCTAGCGAAAAGGATGGGAGCACACCATCAAGTAGTATATGTTGCCTAAAGATTGAGTGTCAGCTCATGGGGAGCCTTGTTGAGCCTGACCTTAGAGGAACATGTTCTTACCAAGATTCTGAGTATCTTAAGACTTGGCGATGTCGGTGAACATTTGGACAACAATGTTTCGTAAAATTCGCTGGGAATTTCGTGAAAATTTGTCTACTACAGGCAGTCTTATCATGCACGCAATAGAAAACCCTCGCAGACCTTTCTTCTTTCTGGGTTCATGTTCCAATCATTATAAACAATCTTCAGATCGTCCTAAACGTTTCATTCCATTCCATCGGTGTTACTCACGACCTTTCATATCCTTGCCCCACGTAGACAAGAGCCAGCAAATTAACTGTTTCCACAAATAATGCAGTTGTGAACATTCAGCCAGCGCAAAGAGGTGTCAGTAGTCTACATTTCTATCTGTTCCACAAAGTGTAATCTGGAGAACCGGAGGTCTATTCTAGAAATATATCAATTAATATTATTATTTTTACCAGAGACCATAGTCTACCAGTGCGGCACTATGTCCATCTTCACCCCACAATACTAAGTGCTTCATTTGGTGGTTGTGACGAACGAGCCATGCTGGTGATGTGAGGACTTTTGGCTACTTAATCCTACCCATGTTCTGGTTTACGCAAGATGCACTGGACATGACGGAGTCAGAATATTCTACAACCTTGAGAATCCAAAATCACATTTCTATCTACCGCAGTTGGTTCCTCGGCTCGAGATTTGCCTCGGGATTCCAGGTTTAAAAGCAGTGATTTTACGGGGATAGATACATGTGAACCCTGTTTGATTCAAATTTAGCTTCGTCATGTTTCATCACCGGTTGTTGGTGCGTGAATGTTCACTTCCGAGGAGATCAAGTAATACCATGTCCTCATGTTGGGGGTTGGGGTGTGGAACGGGAACCACAAAGGACATGTTGTGTTTGCGCTGCACACAACTTACACCGTACAGCTGAATAGTGGTCGCAACATTATGAGCGCTAAACAGGTTGAGATCTAGATGATGACATATTTGCAGAACTAACAGGAACTCTTTCCAAGTTTGGAATGTTGTCGAGAGGGGAACACAAACTGGAGCTTCGCTTGCTTCTTCGTATTTGTGAATCACTGGTCTACAGGATGTAGCCACTGCGATGGATCCCGCCAAAGGTTCACCCCAAGTTAGTGGGACACATGTCAGGAGGAGCACAAGATCAGATAGTCTACAGCAAAAGCGTAATCTGGACGACGACGACGACGGGAAAATGTGAACAGTCTCCCGAAGCTCGGAGAACCACGAGCCATGTAAGTCTCATACTTACGAGTGAGTTACTCTGATTGTTGTCAGAATCTAGTTGACCCCACCCTTTGACATCAGAGAAAAGTACTCTACGACGCCTATGGTGTTGCCTTCACAACCGAGCTCGTCGTCTTCAAGGCCTCCTCGACCGAGGGCTCGCAAGCAACAAGACAACATAGCTGTTCAGTTTGCTTCACTCATACCATGTCCCTCTCTCCAGGCTTGCACTCGTGCACGTGCTACGCGCAAGAACTCGGGAGCATGGTGCGATTGACTTTGGTTCGAGGTGTTTCAGGAATCATTCCAGTGTTTCATGAAAATTATAATGAGATGAGAACCTAGTCCGTTCGCTAGAAAGAGAGAAATTACTGTGATCCACCAGCACCACCACCTCCGAGCATGGTGAGGGTGATCCGCACGCAGCTTTGGCGGGGGTTGTGCTACAGCTCTGCGAAGTCTGTTGCTCATGTGAGCCAAAGATTGTTACTCTCATGGAGGACGCAGTTTGTTTTCATTTTCTCCCAAAATAGTGCTGTCACTCGCGGCCCCTGTTCGTCTTGTCTGTTGCAGCCAGTGCCTTTCTAGCATCCAGTATCCTGCCACTTCGGGAGTTTATGTCGCTGCTTGGCATTTGACTTGGTGCTTCGAGTGCTTTCTCGTTCCCCGTCTCTGGGGCGGGGCCCCATATGTTGGGGACTGTTGCGGGACTCTCACGGGATGCACCGGACAGACATTGTCAGTGTCAGACTACGAGAGCAGTTCTACAAAAATCTGAAATGGGCGCTATTGATGCCTGTGTGCATGACATGCCACCCTCGAGCGAGCTTGTGCGAATGCCTGTGGCCTCGATGCGAAGGAGGTCGGGTCGGAGTTTGGGTTCACCCCGTCGAGTGCCTGGCAATCATCCTCATGTCTCGCGTACAAGAGTCGGATACGCTCGCTGTGTGGAACCCATGCTCGGGCATGATACGCCATATGCACCTCCGCCATTTGCTGATCGCCAAGTGCCATCCGAGCACGGTATGCATTTGAGAATCCGTGGAGATCCTGGCGAACCCTAATGCTGGACCCTGAGCCAGAGCTCGAAGCCTCGAACTGGGCCGAGCTTGCACCAGTCAGTGTCCATCGCCCGCACTGTGACTGTGGGGGATTTGCGACTGCCCCCTCGCCACTCATTGCACAGTGCGGCAATGGCTGGCTGTCCTTCAATCAGGGACCGAGCCCCGGCATGGATTCAACATCGAGCAGCTGCAGCAGTACAGTAATAGTATAGTGCCCGTGCTAACTTTCAGCGCCATCCCTCCTTTGGTTGTAATGTCCTACTTATCCTCTGGAAGTCTGTCGCCCTAATCAGAAGGCAAACCACGCACAAGTCGCACTAATAGTTCCCTAACTTCCTGCACACCTCGGCATCTGATTAGCCTCGAGGAGTCGTCTTGACGACTGTGGTCCTAAGGATCCCAAGTCTGTAGGGAACAGGCTACCAAAGCAACTGTCGATGTTATCTGCAACACAGGCGTCGCCAAAGGATGTATGCAGTAAAAACACTTGGGAACTTTGCTAGCGATGCCGCTTCGCCAGTGGTTCATGCACACCAACTCCGGTTGCATCCGGATTTGACTTGCAAGTGAACTTTTTGGCTTGTGCGTGACACACTTAAGCCGGCTGTTCTGCCATTTTATCATGAGTTGACATCTGAATATCCAGGGACTTGTTAATTGTTGCCCACAGTGCCATCATATAACTTCGATTAGATACCACTGGCTTCATATCTTCGCTCACATCTAGAAAGTTCCAGATCCGTCGGAGGATCTGAAGTAAGTGTGGGAACATGGTGCTCTAGGAATCATCCGGCGTACGGGGTGTAGTTGTCCGTAAGGGAGCTCTCTCCGACTGATCGGCGGAATCAATGTGCATACTTCCGCGCAAAGTCAAGCATATTCACGGGGAGATGGACAGATTTGATCCTCGCATTTGATTCCTTGTTTAAATCTAAGGAAATGATGTAGATTTCTCACGCTCATTCATACATTCGTAAGATTTGGACAATCATTTTCAAGCAATGATTGCTTGCTATCGTAAAGAATGTGTCGTTGCCTCTTGCTTGCGTATGTAGTGCAGCAGGCGATGAATGGGCATCGGGTTCGTGAATCATGAATGTGCCAACAGAGCGAGATGGAGAGAAAAACGAAAGAGCTCATTCTCTTGGGGCCAGCCTAGCCTCGTACGCATGATGCTCCTTTACTCTGCAAGCCCCCACACAAAACTCGAAACGATAATGTTTTACAGCTAAAAGCCTATGGAAAGTACAGAGGATTTCACTGTAGTGATCGACAGATATTAAGAAGATACCCACGCTTGAAGGCACCAATCTCACTCCCGAGGCAGTGAATGGTCTCGATGCCTCAACCATGGGGATGTTCACGTGTGATTCTATCGTGGGGATAGCGAGGAAGCAGATTGGGTCACACGAACGGTGACGGACGATGCTCACCGGATGGATATTTGTCGATTGCAATGGAATCACGCCTTTTCACTCTGCAGAAACGCAAGTGTTTGGGAATGTTTGTTTGAATTATGGAAGTCCTGGATAAGACAACCGAATTGTGCCGCATCTTTCGTTTGTCAGATTACCGCACAGCTTTGGCGGAAGCAGCGCATGGTGCGTGGAATTATTCTCGTATGGCTGCTTTGAAGTGCAGACAGAGATACAGCAGCGAGTGTTGATGGTCAGGATTTGCCAACCCAGTCGAGAGCTGCAAAGAGGCATTGATACAGAGAATCGCAGAGCCTAAACTCATAGATTTCAGTTCCACCTCGTTAGTGGCTATTGGTACATGTTCTCCTGCCTTTATGACAATCCAGACTGAGGCGAGAGACGATTCGGATGCACAATTTTTAATGCTTTTCGGATCTGGCGCATTGATTTTTCAGCTACCTTTTCTGACTCTAGACTTGTGATGGATCCCTCTAAGGGTTACTCGTCACGGCTCTTTCTCATGTACTGGAGTGAGTAGTGGGCAGACATTTCGTGACCCCCATTTACTCAGCAGGCTTTTCCAGCTAATTGACCAGACATTTGAAACTGCTTGCCCATTCGACGACTGCCTCCCTCCCTCCCTCAGTTTGGTGACTTATTAAAGCATAAAGTCTCAGACTGACTTACGGATTGAGCCGAGGCTCGACAGCTTACAAAGCTTGCGATAGTGCCAATGAGCGCTTCGTGGCCCCATCCCGACATCTGCGAAGTCAGGTGCGAGGCACATGAACACAGAATTGCTCTGCTCTGCTCTAATCTCGACAGGCTTTTGCTACAATCGAGCATAAGCTCGCTTTGGATTTCGATGAATTTTACGTGGTCGGCGGCTGTGGTCTACCAGTCTTCCCAGGAAATAGAGATGGATCGTTGAGAAGGCGTTCTGCGACCGCACTGCTCGTGAGGAAGATCCGCGTCTGGTTGTACAGACTCGTAGAGATTCCTGCTCATGGAATTCTGCAGCACATGCCACCACGGATCATATGATGATCCCGGAGCTTCTTCACTCGTGTTGTATGGTCGGGAGAAATCGTCGTCCGGCCCGGCTTCACCACACCGGGAAGATCCTGGCTGGTGTGCGTGAGCTGTGGTTGAAGGGAACGAGGAGGAGGGTGCGAAATCAGATGGCTCGGGGTTCATGATCGAGTCGTACGCAGACTTGATAAGCAGAAATCGGAGATGAGCATCGTCGGAGCTGCAGACGTCCGGATGGTACTTGAGAGCCAGCCTTCGATACGCTCGTTTGATTTCGGTCCTGCTCGCTCCCGGCCCAACGCCCAAGAACGCATGAAGCTGCGCAAAATCCGCGCATGGCGAATTGCCCACAGACGCATGCACTCGACCACAATTCTCGCTGGAACGCGGCCTCGGCCTTGGTCTCAACCTGTGAGCCGCTACGACATAGACCGGCAACACTGGGCTTGCTGCAACCGTCGAGTGCGAAGCACTCAATCCACCAGAATGATTGATCTGTAGCCGAAGCTGCATCTCGACAAGTCGGGGCGATGTCTCGACTTTCGGGGAGTGCTTGGACTCAGACGCTCGCTCGCTGGGTGCTATACCTGGGTGGCCGTAAAGCAAGTAAACAAAAATATCCGCGATTTAGGAGGGGCCGCAACCAGAAGAGCCTGGCTGCCTGCGAGCGTGCGTGCGTGCGCGCACAGGCTCGTCTCAAACTTCGAAAATCTGGACGCGGAGAAGAATGTCACAGAAAGATCTGCAGCTCGTTGTTTGCTTGTCACAACTTCACGGCGAGAACGTGAGGAATGTTTTCTCTGACAGAAGACGGCGAAATGATAAGCAGACAGAATTCAATCATAAAAATCTGTTCGAATTCTGTCGCTGTACACCCTACAATTCGATCGAGCCCCGTAAAGTGCCGGACACACTTGCAAACAAAACCCCCAACACTGAGAAAAAAACAAGTCCTAAAGGCCGCCCCTCCGCTCTCCCCTCCCTCCCTCCCCTCCTCGCCTCAACGCCAAAGCACGCTCGCAGAAGAGCCGGTCTGCTCGTCCCTCCCCTCCTAAGCCCTCGCAGTCATGAAAAAATGGGCCCAAATCCACAAGCTGCCAAACCGCACCCGGTCCTCAGCGTCCTCAGCCATCATGGCCCATAACGCAGCAGCACCAGCAGTACTGCTCGTCCCCGTCCCCGTCCCCGTCGCCAGAAGCACCTGTCTGCTCCCGAATGCACCTCCCGAATGAGAATGTCTCTCCACTCACGCGATGACGTTTCTCGACAAAGTGTTGGCGTGATCGCTTCGCAAAAGCTGAGGTGCGCTGAGCTGAGCTGAGCTGAGCTGAGCGAGCGAGAGAGAGAGAGAGAGAGAGAGAGAGAGAGAGAGCAAGTGCACTGGTGCGCTGCAGCGTCATCAGAATTCCTTCTCTCTCTTAATCCTCGCTGCAGATCGCCATCGCCATCTGCTTTCCTGCGCTTCGCTTAGCTCAGCCCTGCTCTGCTCTGCTCTGCTTTGCTTTGCAAGGCCACGTAAAATCAAGCGCCGCTCGTGGCGACGACCAGGACCGGGCTCGGGACGGTCAAACGGAGACCGCAAGGGGACGAACGGCCGGGCGCCCATTCGTCCGAGGGGGCCCTTTTGACCGGCTCTGGGGAACGGCGGACGCAGCAGAATGCGTTTGACATGTTTTGACCGCTTCCTTCCTTCCCCCCCTTCCTTCCGAGTTGCCACCCGCCCCTCCGCCCCCTCCTGCCTGCCTGCCTGCCTGCCTGCTGACGTTTGGCCGCACTCACCTTGCTCGCGAATCATGTCGACCTCATGCAGCTGCGCTCGCTCGCTCGCTCGCTGCGTCCAATCGCTCCACGCCGGTGGCACCCGCCAGCCTTCACTTCGTGGCGTCCGCCATGCCCTTTTTTCCAGGCGGGACTTCTCGTCCTCGCCTCGTTCCGTATAATTCTGGAATGTCTCGTAGCTTCACCGAGACATTCGGAAGCTCTCTATTGCCGACGTGAAAACATGTGCGCGAGAATTTGGTGCCCGAGTCAAACCCATATTCCCATTCCCATTCCCTGTCCCTTTCGCCCAATCGCAGCACCCACTTCGTGACATCTCCCTGACACCGTCGTCTCGCTACCGGGGACTCAGTTTCAGCATGAGGCTGTGGGCCGAATGTGTATTTTGACACGCATTTGGTGTTCTAGAGATGATGGAGCATTCACATCCCGCACATCGAAATCTTCCTCGAATGGGCCTTTTCAGAAGAAAGTTTGCAACCCCGCGACCGTCTGCTTTCTGGATTTCAGGACATCAGCTGAAGCTCCGTCCAGTGCAACGACGGCTGATATTTGAAGAGAGATTTTCTCAGAGAGTCAATTGTTGTCTGTCGGTGGTGGATCGCCTGTCGAGTTGCATAGAACGTCGACCGGTGTACACTTTGGGAATTGGGGGGAGGGATCGAATATTTGTGTTCATGACTTTTGTTTGTAGTGCATGCCACTCGTAAACAGTCGAATGCTTGGGCTGTGGTCATCCTTCGGCTTCGATCTCGATCTGAGCAGGTGGCATCAGATGCTACCTGCTCCATTATGAAATGTGCTACTGCAAATGTCATGAAGGCCTTGGTAGGCAGAATAAGGAGCATTGAAGGACTTGCTTTTGAGGATTCAAAATAGCGTTGACCTTTCGACGTTGCATCAGCTCATCTCTCATTGCATGAGATCCATTTTCAATATTTGCACTAGATGCGACTTTTTCACATAGCCTTTGAGACGGAAAGACACACAAATTCCCAAACTCAGATGCCTACAGATGTCAAACGTAGAGTTTGATACTTATATGTGATTATTGGATAACGTTTCACATTTATCAGTACTTTCGACATATTGGTTGAAAGTAATGGAATATTTTTCTTATAAAGTAATTTACAAGTTAAAGACCACGCTATCTGAAAAAAACTAGTTATTAGGCATGTTATTCTAAGGAAGATTTTCAGATAGTTGTTTCAATATGCAGATATAACGACATAAGTAACTTCGAGTTCTACATGTATAGGTAACACAGCTCTAGACATCAACACAATGATGGATATGGTAAATAAAACAAATTAAATACGTCGTCTATGACATTTCAACTGTGATCGGAATATTCTAAGATATATTTAGTACGTAGTAAAAAGCCTTGCATCTTAAACATGGGAGAGCATCAGTTCACTCAAATTACTATACTAGAGGGTTCATGTGCCCCTAAACCAGCGACAGCAGTTTTTGAATAATTTGGAATTTAAGGGAATCCTAAAAAGACTTCCTCACACTCCTGCGGGCTACTCAATAGCTAACTAACATCCTTACCTCTAATTCGCAAGGAGAAAACTGGAAGTGAGTCTCAAACATAGAGAGCATTCTGGCTCTAAATTAGCTTTCCATAGAATATCATCAAGAGCTTTTCTAGTATGATGGAAGAATAGAATCTTCCGTTTTATCTGAAGGGCCTACTTTCCATCTCACTACAATGCCGTCGTTGAGATCTTGAGCACTAACACAAGAGAAAAAATGTTATTTTTCATCGGAGTGTTTGATCACCGAATGAGATCCCACATATATGAGCTTCAAAACTGAAAAGCTTTTAGCCAATGCCTCAAAAACAAGTCAAAGTTTGCGTGCATAGTTCTATATGGATTTTAAAGTACTGCCCCAAGGAAAATTATCTTTGCATATTCGTTTCTAGATATATCGGTACCAATGTTCTGCAAAACCATGTCACATGTAGAGTCTATACTCACAATATATATAATCACAGTATGTTTCATCCAACTCAAGCATAAATTAAAGCTTTGCCTACGTTCATCACAAGACACAATAATGCTTGGTTCATATATAAACTGTTTCACACCAATCCAAATACCAAAATTTCAGCATCATGTGTGTTTCCTTTCGCCTTCCAAATTTAAAATCTGATATCATTGATATCAACATCCGAGATGTTTTTAAGTCAATTTGATGGCATATTTAATATGTTATTTCATGTTACATATTTTAAATTTTGTAAGTGAATTTTTACATTTATTTTGTATGCAGTTGAATGTGGAACTTAATTGTTATATAATTAGATAAATATCAAATCATACTATATTTAACTCTCAAATTGTGAAATCCATCAAATCATGAAGATTGTAGCCTAAAGAAAACTTTAAAGTGTTAATTGTTATATATTGTACAAAATAACATAATTTTCAAGATGTAAATTTTAATTTTCATCCTACATTTCATTCGTAAGTGGCCAGTTTGAATGGTAAATTTCTTATAGTATAATTTTAGCTCATACTATCTATATATCATAATAAACATGAGATATAGATCTTTTAAAAAACTCTATGTTTACATAGACTTAATTTGACTTACCTAGAGATCAAAATAACGTTGATATTAAATATAAAAAACATATTAAAATATTGATCAACATTTTATATTAATATGAAAACATTTGACTCCAATTTCTTTGTAATCTTTTGGCAAACATTTTAATTTTAAGAAGCAATGAGAATATTTTGGAAGTGAATATTTATAAAAATACACAAATTTTAGATTCTACAACTTATAAGGAGAAATTTAAACCTAATTTTGTAAATTCTTGAGTATATGAGATGTTCAACCACTTTTCATACCCATTCTTTACATCTGAAACCTATCTACAAGAACTGAATCTAGCATGTATTTTATTTTAAACATGAATATCATTTCAAAACTCATATGCATAATCTAAGCTTACCTTTCATGATTGTTTTGCATTTTATTCATATGGAAGGGAAATTTATAATCTTATTTAAGATTATAAATTTCATACTGAGCTGTTTGCTAACCCTTGCGAGACTGCAAGACAATAACACATCGGACATCGTAGACTAAGCAGTTTCTTAGACGATCCTGTGAGCTTCAACATAGAAATCAAAATAACCTTGAGTTTTAGATTCTAGAGTGAAGAGAAATTGTTAATGAACTCTATAATATCTCCGGTATTCGTATAACATATAACATATCGGGCAAGATAAGCCTTAGCTAGGCTTACTTGTGCCACGTAATTCAATATTCTACGAAAAAGTACACAACGATGCCAAATACAGAATCTCCCTCATACAAAGCATCACGTTTTCAATTATCACAGAATACAACTATTCGACATCCATAAACTTTTTCAAGGTTATTTATCCAAGCTCACTTCATACATGCATTTGCGACGGCATTCGGGAACTGCAACTTTGATATCTTCTTTGTTTCTTATTCAAGTACATTGTCAACACGATCTCTTGGTGTCCATATACACTTCTTCATCTAGTTACTCCCATGACCATATTTGCCTTCAAATGTGGCTGGCCCCATTCTCATCGCTGGTCAAAAGTCATGATCTTCAAAAAAAATGAAGAAATTTCAAAATTTTATAAAGCGAATCTCTAGGAAACATTTTTATGTTTACAAAGCGCTGTTGAATGTATGGACTCATGGGTCCTTTGAGTCTGATATTAAATATGCCGAAGCTGAAGAAGCCTGAAAAAAGTAATTCCACCTCTCTCTCACTAGAAATTATCGTTATCAAACTGTTAAACAAACTGATACACATATAGTTATATGGTCATACAATTTAATTTTATGTTTGTTTATAGGAACTTCACAACCCTAAACTACTATATGCGCAAAAGGGGATGTGATTGGATCTGCGTTTTAATTATCAAACCACATCTTCTGGATATGGTCTTGTCATAGATATTTTCTTTGTATATATAAAGATGTAGATACTATGTTATGCATAAATATATGATCCTTTCACTTTTGACAATGCACATTGATGTCGCTCATTAATACTTTCTGACAAGCTGAGAAAAAGAGAAGAATTTTTATTATAAATCTTGTGGCAAAATGATCTGATTATATGCATGTGAGATGCATGTACTGCTACTTTGAAATTGGCACAGATTGATGCCGGAGATATTATCCCGATTAATGCCAATATATTGCAGGTAGAAGTCTCGATTTCTAGCAGAAACTGTCAAGGCTTTTGGCTGTATCATGTAAGCCTGTAGGGTCGTATACCATATGATAAATGTATTGAGATAGTCAAGTTGACGTATGATAATCAATAAAACCAAGTACGTGACAAATTTCTCTGTTATTTTAAGTTGCATAAACGACAGAATGGAGACATATAGACTTCTACTAACCCTTCTTATTATCGTGGTTCCGACAGCTAAAAATTTACGACTCTCAAGATTGTCATTCGAGAGGCTGAGCTTCAGAAAAACAGTTCCAGGATTTACAAGCAGAAAGGACTTCTTGTATCTGAGATAGACTGAATTCTACACATCATGGATAGGAACACATGCACAGTTTGTTTGAAAAATCATTAATATTTTGCAACCCTCGTAGGACATGCAAGGCCAAAAGTCTGAGAGGGATTGTTGAATGATCAAGACAAAGAAGTTGGTGTTTAATAGATGCACATTCTTTCATGTCTCTCAATATACGATGAGGGTTTTATCTATGCACTAAATTCAAGTTGACTTCAACCAAGAAGAGAGCAAAGTGCTAAAGTTAGAAAAAAATGGATATTTCCTGGACTACTAAGATTTCTGATACCAAATCATACCTCACCCTAAGAATAAGTAAGGACTAGATACATAATTTCTTCTATCTATTCCATACATTTCATAACCTCTCGGTTTTCATGTGAATAAAAGAATGATACTTTGGCCATATT